TCTAATGTCACTTAAAAATAGGAGTCTCACTGTAACTGATACGCTGATCATAGAAACCACACATGGAAGATGCTGCTATTTCTGAAAATATAAGGCAGTGTAAAGTAATGTAGTTCCACTGAACTCTGGGAATCTACACTCATTTATGGCAGATGAACATCTGGTCTTTTATATTTGGAGGAAGGTAGGATAAATACCACCCCACCACTCTAACAAATTCCTGGTAACTCCCCCAACTTAAATAGATTTACACCAAAGTATATTTTTTCTTAGACTCTCAACTTTAAAAACTATGCAGACATGAAAAAAAAAAATAATCTGGCAAGATTAAAAGCAACCAATCACTGGTGCTTCACACCGGAGCTTTCTGAGAATTCAAACTACATCAGAAATTTTCAAACACACATGAGTGCTCCAAAACCCAGCTCCTATTTCCAGAAGTCATTTCAGCCACTGAGCAGCCTGACCTTTGCTTCGTCCAAGAAAATTTAGGACTGCAAGAGATAAGTCACCTTTTGCTAAAAGCCTTGGGCTCCTGTGCCCCTGCCTTTACAGATCTGAGCCAGGGATGAATTGTGAAGGTTAAAGACAAAATTCACTCTTTACACCTTTCATCAGCCACAAATGTCCATTCACACCAAGGGTACATTCTGCTACACTGTGCCAAGGTCAGATCACCTGAAAACAGAGCAAAGAGGTCTTAAACATTCCCTGGTCCTGAAGGGGATGGCTTGATTGCACAATGAGAACCACCAAAACCCTAAAATCCCTTCAAACTAAGCCAGCAGCAGCGACAACAGCGATCCCCGGCCCTTCTGGCAGGACAGGTGGTGTGTGAAAGTGTCTCGTGTTATCCTTCCTCACATCTAACTCATCTGTTCCTTTATTGAAAAACACAATCCACATTGTTAGGGTTTGCGTCTATCTCTGGTTTATGCAACATTTTGTGCTGTCTAATTAGTTTACTGGCAATTAAAAATAAACCCATGGCAAAGCTCCACTCGCCGCTTTCACCTTGTCACAAATGTGCTTGATGTTCACTGTGTCTTAAATAAAACGTATCACTAGCGGGGAGAGAGCCTTTCCACCAATTCTTTTTCCACCATTTGGTATAATTATTCCTGACAATTTGCCCATCACACTGTAAGAGTCTTTCCAGAAGGAGAAAAATACTACTTTGTGTTCTTGTGATCACAAGTCTAATTGAGCGGAAAACAAATCTGTTAAAAAGAGAGGGGGGAGAAAAGAAACAACAAGGGAAGGGGAAAAAAAAAAAGGAAGAATAAAGAGAGATCTGTGGAAAGACAGGCTAATGTTTCATCACTTTCTTAAAAATAATATGACGAGCAAAAGAACAAGGAAATGTGCAACCAGCCACTCCTGGAAAAATCTGAATAGATTTTCTTCCCCTGAATTCCAGAGAAAGTCTCTGCAGCAGATGCTGTTTTAATATAAGTGATGATGACATCAGGTCCATTTTTTCTGTGATGTACAGGTTTTTCCCTAGTTTTTAATTATGCCTATCATTATTCCCTCCCAGCTGGGGTGTGGTAGGGGTACAGTGCTGGTGCTGGCTGGTGCTGGGCCGCTCTCCCTTTCATCTGGGGCAGCACAGAACGAGGGGCCACGTGTGTAATTCAAGCTGACAGGAAACATTAGCACTGCCGTACACTTTGTCAATTAAATGATGGTTTAATCAGTACAAATCTGAATGGTCAAATAATGTTATAATTAAAAGGAAATAATGGAAAGTGGTGTGGTGATTAATTAACAGAACAGCAAGTACCAGCAGCACATCTTGTCTGTGATATCACTTCTCCCCCGCTCCACGCTGGCTGGGTGGGGGTGGTGGGAGGCACACTGACCTTGCAGCCCCAGAAAATCCATTTCAGAGCTGCACATCCAGCAGCAATGGCAATTTTCACAAGCTCAAATAAATGAGGGGGAGCTTTACCTCTTTACCTTCCCTGCAGTGCTCTTCAAAGCACTGCCATACACGATCACTAAGTGACTCTTGACATTTTTTCTGTCTGCCTTTACAAACAGGAGACTGGATACCTTGTAAACCCTGGACACCTTGACATATATTCTGAAGCACCAGAAGATAATGCACTGTCTTTATCTCCCACTGCCTGATGTCTTGATCAGCACGGCAGCTCTGTCCTTTCCCCCTGCACTGGCACACAACGAGCGGCAGCACGGTCTGTGGTTTATTGTGACACACAAATCAAATACAAAATCATATTGATCATCAAAGCTCTAACAAGGCTGCACTGCTCTGCCATGTCCAACATGCACTACTGTGCATTGTATACACTATGAAAAGGTACTACAATGTCAGGAGGAATGATGAGATTCAACAAAGACAATAATTCTTAGAGATGGCTGCTTGTCTCTGGACAGCAGTGCTTAACTTCCAAATATTCTCAATATTCAGGCCTCTAAAGAAACTTCAAAGTATCGGGGTGTTTAGGAAAGGTCCCAAAGGAAGGCATATAAAATTTGAAACTGGTTTTTCAGATTAAATAAGCTTTTAAAATCCATGTTTGATTTGAGCTGGGTACGATCAAACCCGCAGAACTGAACCTGCTGCTAAAGCTCAGTCCACTGGACTGTCACTGGGATGTCAGCCCTGCTGTGACCACCTGGCCTCCAGCAGACAAAGGCTGGTATCATGACTGTCATCCCTTCACTTTGGGTCATCAATCCACCTCCTGATGGTCAAAAGTCCTTCAAAGTCCAATCCTGGCCCTACTCACGACAGTCCCAAGAGGCACATGGTGGGGTTGTTGGGGATTGTTGTCCTGTGTAGGGCCAGGAGTTGGAATTTGATGATCCTTTGGGTACCTTCCGGCTCAGGATATTCTGTGACTGTAAATAAAGTACCTGCTGATGGATGTGCAAAAACCAACAAATGGACCAGCAAGAGTCAGGTCAGATCCTGCTCTTCAGCAGGGGCTGAGCTGCCACAGTGCCAGTGCCACACAGCCCACCCAGCTCATTTCCTGGGGAACAACAGGGCACTGAAGACTCTGCGTCCAAATTTATCATGTTTTGCCTTATTGCAGTGCACTGTACAGCGAAACAGCAACATGCACATTCAATCACGGGTAAAATGAGGGTGGGATGTTATATTTAATATTTATACGCATGGCATACTGGCAAAATTACTGGCATCTGTATGTGTGTGAATGACTGTTTTGAGGAACATGTGTTGTGTGCAATGCTGTTTATTATCAGTAAATGAAGCCAAAAGCTAAGTTGAAAATGAATGCTAAATTAAAAATTATATAAAATGGAGTGAAATGATTTAATTAGCAGATTATAAGTGACATGCTTTACTATTAGAATTAGCTTGGGAGGGATTGAGGGAAGGGAGGAGGAAAAAAAAACCCTTGACTAGACACAGAAGGGTGGAAAAACATTTCTTTCTCCTCTATCTGTGGAGTTACAAACACAGTAACATATTGTCCTGGTGTTTATAATCACAGACTCTGCTGCCGTCACAGTACTTGCCTAATGAGGCAGCCAGTTAGAAATAATGAGACTTTGAAACAAATTGTTCTTGCTTCTAAAAAGGGAAGGAGAAGGATGCGTGGCAGTCTAATACAGTGCAATTGGAGCGTTTCACCAACGTCTCTACACTTGTATTAACTCCTCATACTGTGTCCCTCCACTGGAATTTCTGAGTGGAGAAATGTGTTGTGGTTTCTTAAAAAACGAGGGAGAAAGCTCAGAGCTCTATTTATTCTCAGGTTTTGCCACTGACTTGTTGCATGGCTTCATTAAAAAAGCACTGCCTGGCTAAATTAATTACCACATGTGAAATGCTTTGAACATTTTTGCTTGGTCTCTACCTTCAAAAGAGAGTATTTCACTCCTATAATGATCTCCTATTAAAATTGTCAATATTCTTTGCCAGCAGAAATTGATTTCGCTTCTCTGTGCTTGCAGGAGCACGACTGGAAGGCAACCTGTCCCCTCCCTGCTCCATGGCACGGGGGAGAATGTCAGGAGGTGGGAAATGCTCCAGCCTGGCAGCTCCACACCCGCCCTGGCAGCAGAGGCAAGGAAATAAGGTAGATTCGCAAATTCTTTCCCCATCATTTCCCTGGACACCCCCAATCTTGTCCCAGCACTATCCTCCTCCATGCAGACTTTCCAAACAGCATCTGGAGCTCCCAGCCCGGCTCGCTCTGTCCCCTGCGTGTGGATCCCCTGGGCTGCCTGTCAAACTCCTACTCCCCTGCTCCCAGAGAGCTGAACCATCCAAATCTGAGGCACCCTGAGAAGGCTCAGTGTTCAATACAGCCTGAAAAAAAAAACCATTACCATGCACAAGTCCCTCTTTGATAAAATAATCCTGCTTAAATTCAGAACCCAGAAAACCATGACCACTTTGGTAAGCCTGAAAATTAGAAGCCTTTTAACTTGTTTTCATCTCCAAACACCAAACGAGCACAAATGTGATGCAGGCACCAAGACTTCTATTTATTTTGGTGACAAACCATCAGCAGCTGCCCCTGGTGATCAGCACTACAAGCCTCCACTGCAACCCAGCACGGAGTGGCTCCAGGTCTGACCCTGCTCAGCCTCCTGAGCACTGAAAGCTTCCAGCAGCCCCTCCTGGAGCAAAGGCACCAACACGCTGCAGGCTGGAGCTGCAGAACCACAGGGAGACAGAAGCAGGAGCCTAAGCAGGATCTCAAGTGCAGAAATCCAGCAGAGCTGGGCTGCTGAAGCCCAGGAGCACGGAGGCTGCCAGGGGGAAGTACACCCAGCCCAAGCCTCTCCAAGAGCAGAGCAGCTGCTGAGTGCTCAGACAGCCAGACGGCTGCTTCCCATCCAACATGCTGCTCCCAGGGCTGAGCAGCAACTGCAGAAAACAACAGAAGGGAAATAATAAGGGCTATATATTATGTGTAGATTAAAAAAAAAAAAAAAAAAGAAAAAAAAAGAAAAACACAAAACCCAACAAAAAACAAAACAGGTTCTCCACTTCAGCATGCTTGCACCTTCCAGCTACTTCTTGGTAGCTGTGATCCAGGAGCAGGGGTTGTGATGAAGGAGCTCTGGCTCTTTCTCTAAAAGCCAGAAAGACCTCAGTTTGCAGTCTGTACACAAGACAATAACCCACATTGCTTTCTAGGTATCTACTGGCATTGAGAACCCTCTGATCAAGTTGCTAATTTAAAAAAAAAAAAAAAAAAAAAGGAAAAACCGAGGTGGAGAGTGAACTTAATAGAAACCACTTTAGATGTGTTTGTTTATAGAAGAAAATGAAGGCTGGAAGAGGGTGGGGTGGGAGGATTTTTTTTCTCGTCTCCCACGTACTCCTAAAATGGTCTGTGCCTTGCCTGGAAGTAAATCAATACTAAGCACAGTCCAGGCGAGACTGCCATCTTACATGAAGCACTGACTGTAAAATAGACACAAAAGACACATGATACTCTCTAAGGTCCCCAGCAGCTATAATATCCATCCTTGGCAGCTCGCTTGACATTTCCTTGCCCTGCTTCCCAGTCCTCTTTCTTCCTCCCTCCTCCCTCCCCCTCTCCCTCTCCTCTCTCTCGCTAACAGCCCTGCTCTGCCTCTCAGGGGCTTGCCGACCGGGTGAACAGATAACAAACCTGTCAAGAAGGGTTTAGCTGGGGAATAAATCCTGCATTCGCCAGGAAATGATGTGTACAATGGGAAAATACAAGGGATGACATGAGCCTTCCCTTCTGAGAGAGTGGCCGGGAGATCCTTAAAATGTTACAGCTCGTGCTAAATGGACATTGGGATGGCTGATTAGATCGTATCTCAGACCTTTCAAGTGCCTCCCTTCCTCCCCACTTCCCACTGCTACTGAAGACACACAAAGAAAACAGACAAAGCCCTTCCCTACTTCTGCTCCTTAAAATACATATTTTTTTACAGGCTTGGCCATGAGGAAGGTGGGGTTGGCATGTACTAAGCCTAAGGTCAAGGCTAAAATCTCTTTTAGTGGCAGAAAGGTCACGTGAAATCCATTGGGTAGTCACAATTTCCATTTATAAAAGGCAAATCTAAAAGCAAGAACCTTATCTTGGGGACTTAATACATGTCTTGGGTTATTACTGTTTTCAAAGAGCTTTTTGCACAAATCTGATTTGCACTGGTGCAATAAAGATTCATTATCCTTTTACACAGCAGACTTTGCATTTCTGCTCAGGATTTAATTATGAAAAACAGAACCCATCCCATAAACAGATGCTAATCACAGTAGGAAAGTACTTTCATTTGAGTAACAAGGTAGCTCAGAAAGTTTGCTTGGAAGGTTGCTGCATCAGCAAGAAGAGCTATTAGGGAGGAGAAAAGGGAAGGAAGAACTGATTCAATACTTCTCACAGGTAGCACCTCAATGCTGATATCTCAGGGAGCTGCTTTTGTTGGGAATAGAAGAGGAGCAATTCCATGTGTCAGGAACTCCCCTCTCTAGCACACACAACTGATCAAGAACCTTGTCTGCAGCTGCCTCCAATCACAATCTTGGATTAAACTCAAATGCAAATCCTGGAAAACTTTGGGATTCAGATGGGATCATTCCTCTTGGTCTCTGGGACAGCAAACCCAGTGTTGCTGTGTTTGTGTGCCTGAGGACTGGTTCCCCCCATGTCCAGGCACACAGCCCATGGCTCTGATGGAGATTTTATAAAGCAGTGTCATTCATCCACACTGATATTTTACAGAGCTGAGGAACCTTGCAAAATGAAACTGCTGCCAGTGCACTTTCAGCTCTTGAAATCCAAGATTTTTTTTTTTTTTTACTCTTTTAAAACACCTTTTGAGACACTGATATCACCGTGCAAAGTGTGACTCCGGTGGATGGTCATTACACAAAGGCTGTTCAGTGCACAATGAGCAATACAGGGCAGATACTCTGGTGAGACAGACTGTGGGTAAAGCAGTGCAATCTGCACAGGGATTGCTATCCACAGAGAAAACCTGAAGTACTTAGGTTATCACAGGTGAGTCATGCAATGGCTCCTTAAAGTTTGAGTGAACAATCAAGAAAACATGGATTTTGGTAACTTTGCAAAAACTGGTGTTTAAATACAGATTACAAAGTTAAATCCACTATGCAGTAACCAAACACAGCTGCTTGTTAACACTTGTCAGTCCCTGATGGCAGCACTGGTTTACTTAGAGCAATGATACCAAGTGTCTTCCAAGAGAAGCTACAGCCAAGGGTCCACTCCCAGTGACCAGCTCTGTCTCAGTAGATGAAACAATCTGAATGACAATGGGCTCTTGCTGTAATAAAGGTCAGGCTGGGTTCAGACAACTCTGCCCCTGCATCTTCCAACTCACATCAACATCTGGCTACAGGTAAACTCCAGTTTAATGCAGTGCAATCAACCTTGTTTGCAACATCTTGAAGGAACAATGCCTTCACTAATGATGTTTTAATGAGGAAATGGATATGGTAATTACTGCTAAAAAAACCTGCACCCAGGAAACGTTAGGTTAAATGGCTTTTTCTGTTTGCTTTGGGTTGGGGTTTTTGTCCTCATTCTTGGTGGAGCAGGCAGGACTAGGCAGGGATGGCTTCAGCTAAAGGAAAAGGGAGATTATGTTGAATAAGACCATATCTTCCTTTTTTATTTTGTATAAGTGTTTTCTTAATTTGCAACTGGTATTTTAAGGAAGGGACACATGAAGTACTTAGCTATTATTAGAGGAACTGAGCAATATAATATGATCCTGTTTATGCCCTAATAGCAACGAGTGATGGACTGGTTTGCCACAGACAGCATTTTATTACTGCAGGGCCACATGTGCTGGGAGTTGCAGTGACCTTACACTCAGAGGTTCCCATCTTATTTTCTACTGCTAAGTGTTGCTTTTTTTCCATTTCTGGAGGGGAAGAAGGTCACTTCTCACTATTACTGTTCCATTAACTTACACCACAGCATACACATTCTTAATCCAATAGCACCTTACATTGTGCCTTTTAACTCAATAGTCCATTATTTTCTCAAGTCTTGCCTACACTGACCAAATTATTACCTGAAGTTCTGCACTTACCAAGAGCAGAACAGTTAAAATGTTTAGTGAGAGTGCTGGGGGGCTGAGGCATTGGTACAAATCCATTTTTCTTTTCACCTTTGCAGTTGCTAACAATGAGTGATGGGCTCCCACACATCTGCAAGCACTGGAGCTGGATTCTCATTCACACTCAGCATCAATGAGAGCCAGAGACCCAACACACCATTTTTCATGACTGAATAATGCTGATGCCTTGCAACGTTTCTCAACACACATCAGACAGCAAGACAAAACCTGCATTTTAGCAATGCTTCATTTTATAAATACCACTCTTCAGTCAAGGTGTTGTTTGGAGCCAATGGGAATACATGGCATCCTTACCACACACATTGCTGGGAGGGCTGGGACTCTGAAACAACTTTCACACTATTAAACAGTGACTTTGCTCACCTGAAAGAAGAGACACAGCCCTCACTCATGATTCATGGGTGCACTGCAGCCCCTCAGCAACACCCTCGAGAGGATTTTACTTAGCAATTGGCCTAGGTGCAAAAAGTGGCTCCAGTCCAACTTGTTCTGCCGTTTCTAATTTATCTTCTTAAATAAATAAATTAAAAAAATAAGCAGGGATGTTTTATTTAAGAATCTGATTCTAGACATATCAATGCATTAACAGGCATCCCTGCAGATTCAGCCTTTTCTGATTGAATTCTGGATCATTTTTACTCAGTGAATGGAACAGGAAAAGTCCAGGATGCCAAGAGAATAATATACTACAAGCTGGTGTTATGATGACATGCTTCAAATAATCCCCTGCCAAAATGAAATTTAATTATAGCCATTGTTTGTATTATTCGAAGGACTATTGACAGTAAATCTATCTAGCACAACGTTTCCTCTTTGTATTCACTGCAGCCTTTAGACTGGAAGGAAAAAAAAAAAAAAAAAAGAAAACTAAGAAAAAGGAAATGTTTCCCCCCCCTTCCTCCTTCCCTGGTATCAGGCTACACGAGGCCACTGAAGCCCAGTTGATTTCCCAATTCCAATTATTTCGCAGTACACAATCCTGCAGAACAGCACAGCTCACCCGGGGACTCGGGCTGCCTAAACACGCTGCACTTAATGGAGTCCCTGAAGTTGGCTCCATTTCATTGCTTCTAACTAATAGGCTGTGATATTTTTTTCCCCCCCAAACAGACCGCAGCTCTTCCCACTCCCCTCGCCCATCCTCCACGTAGGATCCAAGTGGCTAACGAGGCATCAGGAGCCCGCCTGCCCCTCTCCACCGCTGTACCTTCACCACCACCTGCTGACTGCAGGGCTGGGCTCCACCACCCTCACCTGCTGCCCCTCCCACATCTCCTCCCACCTTCGTGTTTGGTAAGAACGGAGAGGCATTAAAAGACAGAAGTGTAGCTGGTGTCTGCTGGCATGAACGCTGCCAGGCCCCTGCAAGGCTCAGGCCTAATGAAAAGTGCTCTTTCTTCAGATGTCAGTGATTTTAATATAATTTGGTCTGCTTTTCCTTTTCCTTTCCCTTCTCAACCTCTTGTTTGTGCCTGTGCAACAGGCCAGGTCTCCAGCAACAGAAAGAGAGCTGCAACTTCAGAAAAGATAATTCTGCGAATTGTTCACCAACACATGATCTTCTGCCCCCTTTTTCTCCTAAACCCCAGCACTTTTGGGTTCTGTACCATCAACCTTTTGGTGACTCTCAGCCAGCCAAAGTCCAGTTACACAGCACCTGTTCTCGACACATCATCTCCAAGGGATTACATGAGTCAAAACACTAAAACTGCTGATGATTGGAAGTGTTGAGGTGCAAAAGTATGAGGATTTTGAGGAGAGTATCGCTGTCATATCTAAAAAGTCCTGCACAGCTGTTGGGGACAGAGTCCTGCCCGCTGAGGAGCCCAGGCAGGGCTGGGGCTGATCTGCCTCTTTCATTTGGCTCTGAAGGCAGGAATTACCTTGCCCTGGGGCAGGGTGCAGTGGGAGATCTCTTACATTCGCCCTCAGAAAGGAAAAAAAGAAAAAACTTTCTTCCCCCCCTCTCCCCACTAAAAAAAAA